CAAACCCAAACCCAACCCTTTTTAGTTTGATTGACTGAATATTCATTTTCATAAGAATTTTGATTTTACGATTCCATATGTTTGTTATCAAAATAAAAAATCAGCCTTATAGAAAAAATTCGAAAAAGTATTCTCCTTTCTCATTTTGTCCTCTTTTTTTTATCCTAATTATACAATCAGTAAGTTTATGATAAAAATCAACATAAGCAAAGTTTCAAACCAGGTTGCACTCCAATTATAGATATTAAAGTATTATGTTTTTCCAGAACAATTTATTATTCTCCTGAAAGTTTTTTTTTATGTAAGTTATCAACCTAGTTATATTTTAATTAAGAATTATAATTTCCAAGTTCTCTCCTTTACCAGTTTTTTTGATTATCCTAATTATTAATGATATTTTGTTTTTCACCTTATAAAAACAGCAACACCTCATCTTACTAATCAATTTTATTTACTACTTAAATTATTCATGTATGCCTTCAATTTCGAGAAATTCCTCTTTTTTATTATAGAATGGCTGATTAATAAGTTTAGGTCTTCTAAAAATATTTTGAACAAGATTGTTTCTTAGAAATAAAATGTTTTAGATTTCTCTTCTTGATGGAGATAAATTTTCGTTTAATTTTGATAATATTTAATAATTGGATGTTTCTTTTCAGCCTAAAGCCCAAAATAAAATACATTTAATAAAACTTTTCAGAGTATAAACTTAGTTATAAGGTAAATAATATCAATAGCTCAAAAATATATTTTTGCAGCAACAAAATAATTTAAATCAATTTAAACCAAAAATTACATTTTATTTTCCTTTTTTTATGAAGATTTAACAAAGCTAGGAAGATATTATAGAATACTTCGTAATGTAAAAAGACATGTCAAGCATGACTAATTATATGATAAAGTTTAAAGAAGATTTCTAATTTTATATTTTGATCTTATTGGATAAACTAAATCTTATAAAACATGAGAAATAAAACTTTTTTTAGAAAATGGTTTTCAACCTTGGTTTTCCTAAATTAAATAATGAGGGATTATCAATAATAAGGTTCATTAATATAAAGGATAGAGCCCGTTACTTTTGAAAATAATGAACAAACAAAAGTTCAGTAAATCAATATTTTAATCTTAATAAAGGGAAATTGTTTACTTTTACCAAAAAATGTTTGTCTACAAAATCCTTCAATTTAGTTAAGGGTGGAGTAGAAAATTCAGCCTGGTTTCATATGCTTCATTAGGAGATATTAATTGATTCTCCTATAGTTATGATATAGTAAAATTTTAATTCCATCTTATCATCTGCTTAGAAGCTATAATTTATATACCTTAAGGAGGATTATCAGAATAGGTTTTTTATTTTGAAAAATACCATTATTAATTATGATAATTTCTCTATTAGCCTCACCTAATTCTAAGATGAGTTCCTCATATATTTAGATTTCCTAAAATTAATTTTCTCTTTTTTATAAGTTTTTTTGATTAATTCAGAATTAATTTAATAAATTAGAATGACAGATTATTTTATATATTACTCTATTTTTATTTATTTAAAAAATAGTCATTCCTTAAATGAATTAGATTTAGTTAAGGAGATCCTTTTATTCTGCAAAATAAATATCATGATCGATAATTGATCAATTACTTAATAATTGTCTCATAAAATTTTCATTAAGCTTCACCTTGACTAGAAAGGCTGCAAAGAGCGACACCAGCGTATTAAATCTCTTAACCGCTCTGCTTATGTGGGTAAGCTACTTTCTCACAATCTTTAACAAAGAGTAGCGGTTAGATTCTTCCAATCGTAAAGTTTCCTTAAACAATTTCATATTCACAAAGTTCTTTTTCTGTTCCAATTTGAAAAGAGGAGAACATTCACTTTTTAGACCCCTCTCTTAGCAATAACTCTGTGATTATAATGTTACATAAGGAATTCTAATAAATCTTCTCAAATTTCAAGAGTTTTAATTTTTTTAATATATATAACACCTCTTAAATGCTTAAATGAATTTCTTCTTATAAATTCAAGAGTTAAGATTTAATTCTATAAATAAAATGGTAACAAGTGTGAATAGTTGATTTTCATTATTGTTAAAATTTTCACGGATAACAACTTTTATTAAAAAAATGTTCCTCCTACTTTTCTTAAGTTATCTTTATAAGTTTTAAGTAACATCAGATCCCTATAACACGAGTTGATTAGAAAACAGATCAATACTAGCGCTACTAATAAATTAATTATATTATTAAACTTAAAGAATAATAGCCTTATTTCTGGTTTCTTTTTGATTTCATCAATCATCTATACTTTATAGAAAAAAAGTTTATTGTTATAGGTAAGTTTCGTTACATGCCATTTATTCTAACTCAATTTCAACATTTAATCAAGTTCAAAAAATTTCCTTGAATATAAAATTATGATTATTAATTTTTACTCTGCATTTTTTAACTAGATTAGATTATTTTTATTCATAAGTCTCAATCATTTAATTAATCATTATTAGCTTTATTTTTTACTTCAATCTTCTAATTTGATTTTCCCTTCAATATAAAATTAATTATTTGACACTAATTTGAAATAATTTTATATGATATCTCACAGCCATTAGTCAATGTTATCATGAAATGTAAATTTAGTATTGTGATTTTTAAATCTTTCAAGATTTTCAATTCATTCTTAAATGTTTTAGATCATCACTTAAAAAA